TGTATACTGTATAATGATTGGGAAAAGATAATTATATGTTTCTTTGGTTTTGATTATGATATCTATACTATTGAGGGTTGAATATAAGCATAAGCAAATGGTGCTTTATCTGTATTACATACAAATATTTGTATTTATGTAATATATTTTACATGATCAAATATTTCTAACCTTTGTTATGCTGTACAAAAACTGCAGCTACAGTAATGTGGATCCATAATCACCAAAGCATTTTATGTAGCGTAACAGCATCAAATGTTCCCAGTAAATCCTATGGTGTATGAACCATAACATTAAAGGCCATATCCAGTATTCAGCACAAGCTGAAATATTAACATCTCAATTTACATACACATTTCCATGTATCTAAAAGCAAAAAACTATATACCAAGCCATTTTCCTATTTTGAATAATAGGTGGTTTTCTGAGATCCAGTTGATTGACTAAACAAAGACATGACTAGTGCATTAAAGCAATTGTTTATTGCCACTGAATCATTGCGTATGTATAATTTTGCTGTAAATGGTTATTAACTGATACAGAAACCATGGATTTGTATAATAGCTGGTAATCATTCTACCTCAGGATGTGTTTTCACCCTCATACACAGGGTTAAAGAATTAGAGTATAGTCAATTACATTTAGCAGGTCACAGAAATTGATTTACTGCCTAAGGAATGTTTTTTTTTTTCCTGCTGGGCTTTGGCTCTGTGGTGGCATTCTGCTCACATAATCAAGGATGAGCGTTGCCTGTCTACCCAATCTACTACTTGGTCCCACAGGGAAAGATGACTTGCAACAGGAAAAACCTGCATGAATACTAATTTGCCTACTTGGCTTTAACAGCTTTTGCAAGCCAATCTCATAGGAATTTGTAGAATATGATGCCTTTCCATCTTTCCATATTAATTACCTCAACTGAAAATGAGGACAGCGAGAGATGAGGACGGAGGAAGAGAGTGACAGAGGAAGAGTGTGTGAGGGAGAGAAAGAAAGAGAGAGAATCATGGGAATAGCTCTAAGCAGGGACTCTCTGCTCTCCATCCTAAATGCGGTTAATTATAATGTGATTTGAAGCATCTCGAGCAGGAATCTGGCAATCTAGATTTGGAGCTCTCTGACCACAGCTCCAGTTTGGGTCTCTTCATTATGGCTCAGCATAGCCAGCCCTTCTCTTCCCCTCAGACTGAGAATCACAGAGGCAAGAGTAAAACTGGGACACATTGGTTATGTTCCCTCCAGGCATGTTGGGAGCAGATTATTCTGACTCCTGTACTCTTGTTCCTTTAGATCGTTTAAATCAGGCAGGTGAGAACCATGCATTTTAAACATGAGTTAAAGCATGAATACCAATATTTCAGAATCCGATCTTATTAGCAAATCATGCTTTTTAAAGGATATCACGTTTACTCCTTGATCTATAGGGAAAAACACTGTGATGGACAAACCGCAGTGTAAGGCTCACCTTGAAAAGTGGGATGTTTCATCAGGGACACTGTTTTAAAATTGTTTAAATCATATTTATCAAACCCTTTTTTAGTAGTCATGGATGATGCTTCCTCTTCAGTGACCCCTCAGACCTGTGGTGTTCCTCAAGGCTCCATCCTTGGCCCCTTATTCTGTATATGCATGCTAAGATTGGGATATATCTTAAATAAACATAAAATCCAGTGCCTAAGGTCCTCAGGTTGTTCCTGAGTCACGGCTCAAGACGGAAGGTGACCAACCTTTGCAGTCAATTCCTTGCCTGAGCATCTGTGGTTTGCTCAATCAGTGACATCTTTTAAATCACCTCTAGACCATTTAATTTGCCAATATGTCTGATGTGTTTTTTATTTATCTTATTAGTAGAGTATCTTATTATAAGTAGTCTGTTACTTTGTGCTGTGAATAAACTGTATTATTATTATTAT